CACTGAAATCCAAAGCGTCTTTGAATCCCTGCGTGAGCCACCGCGGTTGACAGGCTCCTCTGATTTTCTCCTTCGGGAGGAGAATGTCGTTGAAATCTCCCATGAGCATCCAAGGGAGAGAGTTGGCGAGGGAGAGTTGCTTGAGAAGATTCCACGAGAGCTTTCTCCGGTGTCTCTCTAGGTTCCCATAGAAACCCGTAAAATGCCAAGTGACTGGTGAGGAAAGAATCTTGACAGTGGCGTCAATATAGTTACTCGAACTGTCTAAAATATTTACAGCAACTTCTTTTTTTCCAGATTAGTGCTAGGCCCCCACTAGAGCCCACACTATCAACAATAAACATTGAATCAAAATCCATGACTTTCTTTATGTCTTCTAACTTGTCAAAACCAAGTTTAGTCTCCAATAAAAATAAAAGAACCGGCCTCTTCGAGTGGACCATATCCACAAGGACTTAAACTGTCGTAGGGTTGCCAAGCCCCCGATAGTTCCACGAGATAAAACTCATTAATCTAGGCGGGCCGGCGTCGCAGGTCCCGCCACTAGCAAGTTTTTTGAGAGACTCGGGCTAGTGTCCACGCTGACCATTTCGAGATCCTGGTCATGACCGTAACAAACTAGGCCTTTATGTTTCTTTCTTTGCTCAAGTCCACCAGATTCTCCAATTTGGGGTCCCCTTAGTAATGAGCCTTGTGGGTTGTGCTGAAAATTTGAAGGGTAGTTGACCAAAACTCCACTAGGGATGGGCGTCAAAGGACACGGGGCAAGATGCATTGATCCATTGGATAAAAGCTGAGTTCCAAGACCTAAATGCTCATTAAATGCAGCTGTGTAATGTAACGTTGAATTGTCCAGAGCATTGATGTTCACAACATTCCCATTGGCTTGCATTAAATGACCTCCACATGCCGACAAACTCTCATTAATATCATGCACAACTCGAGGTCGTAAGTCTGAACCTTGAACTACATTCTGCATTCTCTGACCCCCTGTTTCCTCGTATGAAAAAATCTGCTTGTTTGTCTTTGCTGCCAGGAGTAAAAGTATGCTTTGAATGTATCCTCTTTAGGTTTCCGGCGAGGCAGTTCTGCTAGCATCCATTGTTGGCCGGTATTTGGTTGGGTTTGCCGGCCGGTGGCTCTGAGCTCCGGACCATAGTTTCTTGCCGAAAGTTCCACACTCCCTTCAAAAAGCTTATCGCAGGATCTGTCATTATGGCCGATCAACCCACAGAGAAAGCAAAATGTTGGTAACCTTTCGTATTTGAACTCAATGTAGAATGAATCTCCTATGGCGGGTTTCACTTTCATCTTCCTTTTGAGGGGCTTGGTAATATCCAACTGGACTCTGATACGCATGAAGCTTCTCCACAGGCCATCAAGATTAACAGCATCAACTTTTATAAAAGAGCCAATGAAAGAACCAATCATTACCACAGTCTTCTCCGTTTGCATGCCTGGTGGTATGTTGTACGCTTGGACCCAGAAGTCTGCAATAGACATTTGGATGGTATGAGGAGGAACATTAGCATCAATCTGTTTGAGGAGAAGAAGGTTCTGTTCGTATGACCATGGGCCGTCCTCCAACACCTTTTTTATATTAAACTCGTGGACAAAATAAAAGAGGAACAGATTAGTTGAAACCTCCCTTGCCAACATTCCTCTCTTTGGTTGTTAAGTATTTAGCATACTGAAGCTCACAAATAAGGAAGAATAAAGAATGTAGTTTTATTCACAGCAAAAGCTCACAAATACTGAATACTGGAAGCACAAATTTATACAAAGATATGCCTAACAAATAGGCAACAAACAGAAAATATGAAAAAGAATAGGACTCTCTTGTTACTTAAAATATTGACTTGCTCCAACACCCCTCCTCAAGCAGGATGGTAGACAGAATGAATACCCAGCTTGGACTTAAAACTTTTCAATGATCTGGGAGCATGTGGTTTAGTAAAACAATCTGCAAGCTGATTACCACTTGAAACATGCAAAAATTTCAAAATTCCTTTCTTGATCCGTTCACGAACAAAATGACAATCAATCTCAATATGTTTTGTACGCTCATGAAAAACAGGATTTTCGGCAATGGCAAGCGCTGACTGACTGTCAAAAAAAAGAACAGATGTGGCGGAAAGCATAATGCCTAAGTCAGCTAGTAGGAAAAGAAGCCACTGGATTTCACAACTTGTGGTTGCTAACGCACGATATTCTGCCTCCGACGAAGACTTAGACACGGTTTCTTGTTTTTTAGACTTCCATGAAATTAAAGAGACCCCAAGAAAAATACAATAACCAGTAACAGACCGTCTGGTTTTGAGACAAGTACCCCAATCAGAATCTGAGAAACCGCGTATCTGTAAAGTTGAATTAGTCGAAAGAAGAATACCTTGACCAGGCGAGCCTTTAATATACCGGAGGACTCTATGTGCAGCCTGCAAATGAACTTCTGTTGGATTATCAAGGAACTGGGATAGTTGTTGCGTAACAAAAGAAATATCTGGCCTTGTGATAGTTAAATAGAGCAACTTCCCAACTATGCGCCTATAAGAAGTAACATCGGCCAAAACAGGGCTATCAACATGTAATTGTTTTGGAGAAAGAACCATCGGGCTGTCAACTGGCTTGCTACCCAAAAAATCTGTCTCGGCTAACAACTCTAAAGCATATTTTCGTTGGCAAAGATTTATCCCTTCATGACTAAGATCCACCTCCAAACCTAGAAAGTATTTTAGTGATCCCAAATCCTTAATACCAAAGGTAGCGTGAAGATGACTCTTTAGCTCTTGAATTTGACAAAAATCAGGACTAGTAACAACAATGTCGTCAGCATAGACTAACAAGGCTACAAAAGATGCCCCAGACCCTCTAATAAATAAAGAATGATCAGACGAGGCTTGCGAAAAACCTTGATGGACAAGTTCTTTAGTCAATTTTTCATTCCATTGTCTGCTTGCTTGCTTTAAACCATACAAGGATTTAACAAGCTTGCAAACTTGTCCTGGCTTTTCAGGTTCAACTCCCGGAGGCAAAGACATATACACCTCCTCATGCAAATCGCCATGCAAGAAGGCATTATTAACATCAAGTTGATGAAGATGCCATCCTTGAATTGCAGTAACAGCTAACAAGGTACGAATCGTAGTAACTTTAGCGACTATACTAGAAGTATGTAAATATTCCAAGCCCGGAGTCTAAGTATAGCCTTTTGCAACAAGACGAGCTTTATACCTCTCGACCGAACCATCGGCATGAAATTTAGTTTGGTAAACCCACTTACAACCTATATGTCGTTTATGTTGCGGCAGAGTGGTTAACACCCAAGTATTGTTTGCATGAAGGGCATCCGACTCAGCTTGCCTGGCATCTCGCCAACATTTGAAACCAATAGCTTCATTATAATATTTTGGTTCAACTACACTAGAAGTAGCTAACACAAACCGTTTGTGTACAGGAGAAAGCTTGTCATAAGAAATAACATGCTGCAACAAGTGTGGTGTGTTTTGGAGTTGGACACAAGAAGCAGGTAAACCATTTCGCACCAAGTAGCACTGGTAATCCCTCAAATATGATGGTGCAGTTCGAGTACGTGTTGACCGACGTAACCTGGAAATGGGGGGATCAGAAGTACCAATGTTTGTTGTACTTTGCTCAAGATCATTTGTTTGGTTTGTAGAAGCACTGGAATGGTCAGTATGAAAATTTGCAGAAACATCATCACTTTCATTACTTACCAAAGTATCACCATTTACATTATTTGGGTGGTCATCATGCAAAACAAGTTGGTCAGTATGAGAATTTGCAGAAATATCATCACTTTCATTTCCTATCAAAGTATCACCATTATTTGTGGCCTCATGTTCAACTAGATTTTCAGAAACTGCAATGTCAGGTGCTTCTTGTTGTATCCTACCCACTGGACTCGGCTCACTATGTGCTGAAAAATCAAAAAGAGCAGGAGGTTGAGTCATATTATCTGATGAAGGAAAACTTGAGCTTCCAGAGAAACTGGCTATAGGCAGAGAAACAATTTGAGTGGATTTACACTCTATGGAGTCCCAATTAGGATTAGCTGCAGCAAAAGGAAACCGAGTTTCATAAAACAACACATCCCGAGATACAAATATGTTTCTATTCTGCAAATCATAAAGCTTATACCCCTTCATCCCTCTTTCAAAACCAAGAAACACACAAGACCGAGCTCGGGGCGCAAACTTGTGTCGATTCACACGCTTGGTAGAGGCATACGCCAAACACCCAAAAACCCGTAAGTTATCATAATTTGCCGCTTTACCAAAAAGAATTTCAAAAGGAGTTCGGTTAGAAATCATAGGAGAAGGAAGCCTATTAATCAAATACACAGCATGTGCAATACAATCAGTCCAAAAACTTTCAGGTAAAGAAGCTTGAAACCGTAGTGCTCTTGCTACATTCAAAATGTGTTGGTGCTTGCGTTCCACCACACTATTCTGCTGTGGAGTTTCAACACAAGACGTTTGATGTTCAATTCCTTTTGAAGAATAAAATTCTTTCATTTTGAATTCTAATCCATTGTCAGTTCGAATACAACGCACACATATTGAAAATTGTGTAGCAACATATTGAATAAAATTCTGCAAACATGTGCGTGCTTCTGCCTTAGTTTTCATGAGACATACCCAAGTCATACGACTGTGATCATCTACAATAGTAAGAAAAAAACGATGCCCATAAATCGATGGGATATGAAAAGGACCCCAAATATCTGCATGAACCAATTCAAAACATTGACTAGTAACACTTTCACTAACTTGAAAAGCTAGTCGTTTTTGTTTAGCCAAATGACAAATCTCACAAACAAAATTGGAATCACAATTTATGGACTCATTATGCAATTGTTTTATTCGACGAAATGAAGCATGACCCAAGCGATAGTGCCAAATATCAAAACCTTGTGTAGAAGAAGTAACAAAAGAGCGTGGATAATTTGCATGCATCTCCCTTTTATTCAAAAGAAGCCGTTACAGCCCTTTGTCCTCTTTAGCTAAACCAATCTCCTTCTGATCCTGACCACTCTGAATCACACAATAGTCAGCAAAAAAAGACAAACTACAACCAGAATCTTTGGCTAATTTGCTTACTGAAATCAAGTTAATCTCAAAACCTGGAACACACAAAACACCTTTGAGGCTAATATGCTCAGTTAATTTAATAGAACCTATGTGTGTAACAACTTCTTTACTCCCAGTTGGCAAAACCACAGAAAAGTTGTGAACTTGAAAAGAATTAAAAAGACCCGAAACAAAGTTTATTATGTGATCAGTAGCACCAGTATCAAATATCCAATCAGTGTATAAAGAAAAAAGTTTACCCTTATTGTCATCCTGCATGGGTCGAGATGTGGTATAAACAGCACTCTTCATCTTACTTGGTTGAGCAGCAGCAGGTAAATTAGAATTTTGAGGGTTCCCAGAACTAATAATAGCATTTACCTTGCTTTCAACCCCAAAGTCAGAATTTACTCTAACGTCAAAACAGCCATCTGTGACCTTTGTAGAACCATCTGAATTAGACAGAGTACCAACAAAGTTTGCAGCAGGCCTTTGATTACTATTTTGTTTACCTCGGCTTTTAAAACCCGGAGGATATCCATGTATCCGATAACACTTTTCTACGGTATGCCCCGTATAACCACAAAAACTGCAAACAACCTTTTTATTATTGCTGGAATTGAACTTGCGTTGAAAAGACATACCTGACGATACTGGCGGTCCAGCAGCAAGAACCATACTTGAATTGTCCTCAATACGCCCAAGACCAGTATTGCCGTGGAAAGCCTCTCGCTCTTGTTGTTGAACAAGAGAAAAAACTCTACCTACTTTAGGCAGCGAGGTCATCACCATGATCTGAGATTTCACTCCCCCATAAACGTCACTCAGGCATCTTAGAAAGGTGGTGACAAGTTCTTGTTGATGGCGTTCCTGAATCTTAGTCAACAACTCACACCCGCATCTTTGTGCACAGACACACGTTGGTAAAGGCAATAGATTTAACAACTCATCCCAAAGCAACTTGAACCTTGTGAAATATTCATTAATAGATAAGTCCCCTTGTTTTATACTATAGATTTCTCCTCGCAGATCTGCGATACGAAATATGTCACCTTGGGAAAAATGTTCTTTTAAGTCATCCCATACTTCTTTGGCAGTAGCAAGCCAAAGAACACTTTGAGCAATTATGGGAATGACTGAATGTAGAATCCAAGATAGAACCATATTATTGGCCCTTTCCCAAGCTGTGTAACAAGCTTCAGTTTTGTTAGGAACTTTGATAGTGCCGTCAACAAAGCCATGCTTGTTTTTTGACAATAAAGCCATTTTCATGGTTCTACTCCAGGTATGGTAATTGGTCTCATTTAAAGGCGTCGTGACCAATACCAATGAAGGATTTTCTCCTAAGTGCACATAGTACGGGCTACTCGAATCATTAGGGTCAAAAACAACCGCTACTTGGGATGTTTGCTGTGTTCGATTTTCTTCCATTAATAGTGTAGATGAGCACTAAAAAGGCTCTGATACCATGTTAAGTATTTAGCATACTGAAGCTCACAAATAAGGAAGAATAAAGAATGTAGTTTTATTCACAGCAAAAGCTCACAAATACTGAATACTGGAAACACAAATTTATACAAAGATATGCCTAACAAATAGACAACAAACAAAAAATATGAAAAAGAATAGGACTCGCTTGTTACTTAAAATATTGACTTGCTCCAACATTGGTCTCCAAATGGTAGCCATGGTGTCCTTCAAGAAGTTGAATCGTGAAGGTTTTTCAGACAAAAGTTTACCGACCAGGATGAAGGGGGGTATCAAACTCCGACTCGGAAGCAGTTCCATCTTCGATAGTGAACTCAAACTCCTCGTCATCTTGTAAGGAGAGAGATGAGTATTCGTCTGCCAGATCCATTGGTTGTTTGCTACTGGAGGCCATGACTAAGGAAAAAAACGAAGGGAAAGATGGAAGAAAAAAAAAAGAGATGGGATAGAGACTGGGTTACTGGAAGAAGAACACAGTCTTTAAGGAAACAAGTTGGTGGGTATTGAATGAGAATAAGAAAAGATGTATAAGAGAGAAGTTAATGCACTTCACAAAGGGAGGGGTGTGCAGGTAGGAGTAAAGGAACTGCAAAGGAGCAGAAGAAACAATAATGGCGATCAGAAGGTAAGCTCATTACCATGAATGAGATGTAGAAGCTCATCATAAAGATGAGAGGAAAAACAGAAGTTCCTATGTTAAGATTTAGATTTTCAACCAAAAGGGGTAGGTAGTTGGGAAGTGCAAAACCCACATTTTTTAGACCAAAATTAAATGAATACGGATTTCCTCCGATCGTCCTGGACTATTGGCTACATGATTATCATATACATGTTGCTATTTGTACCACCTTCAATAGAATTTCACATAAAGTCCTTGAATTGACTTTTCATATAATGATACTTAACCCTATTGGTTTCAAAATTTAACCTAGGTAAATTATATAGTGCACCGCGGTGCATAATCGATTATGCACTGCGCATCGAAACGACGTCGTTTTATTTAATTAAAAGAAACATCATCTATTTTGCGCCGTTCTGCATCATTCCGCAAAAAGTAACTATGTTATTCAGTTTCATTATGTATATACTGTAGTTTCATTTCGATATAACTACAATTTCATTTCAATATAATTACAGTTTCATTCGATGTTATAACACCCAAATATGTGAAAATGTTATTTAATTTTATTTTATATACCCCATAGTTTCATTAAAACACAACTACATGATCATTTCGATATAACTACAGCTTCATTGCACAATATACACTAAAAAATGTGAAATATTATTCAGTTTCATTTTATACACACTGCAATTTCATTTCAACACACCTACAGTTTCATTTCAATTCAATTGCACTTTCAGTTGATAATATAAAAATAATACGTGAAGCAGTATCAGTTTAGATACACTGTAGTTTCATTTCAACACAACTACAATTTCAGTTGATAATATATCAAATAATACGTGAGGCAGTATCGGTTTAGATACACTGTAATGTCAGTTGATAATTAATACACCAAATATGCGCGCCCCGTTAACTGTAACGGCGCACCGTTTCTTTACTTAAAGAAACGGTGCCGTTTTGACCGCAGTGCACATGCACCGCGGTCCACGATATAACGACTGATTTAACCTATGCCCCCTCCCTTTCATGTTTTAATAAACAAATCCTCCCATACAAAGCTAAAATATAAGGCTATTTTTATCCATGTAATACTCTTTCACTTTCAGAAATGATTTATACTTTTATATCACCAAATTTACAATTTCTTTACTATTTTCTCTACATTCCTACAATATTTTCTCACTTTTTACTTTTTTAAAAAGCCCTTAAATAAAAGTAAAGAATAAATAAATAGAACGGAAGTTTTTTATTTACTATGAAAAATTAGTATTATAAAGCTAGCTGGTATGATAGTTACAAGAACACTTGTAATTGGATAATATAGGATAAGAGGTAAAATAAGAATAAATTTTAAAATCAATGTTTAAGGGTGTAAACATCAGTTTTCAAACAATAGGGGTCAACGTGACTCTACGGCTCTACCAAAAACCTTAGTCCTCTAAAAGCTTCTCCATTAATAGATTATGGTGTAATTTTTTAGGAATCAAAATCTATGTGAAGGAGGGAGGGAGATGAGAGAGAATAAATGAGCTCTCATATGAAGGACTAAGGTATTTTCAAAAAAAAAAAATAAAAAAATGAAGGACTAAGGTTTTTTTCATATAGTAGACTCCATCAAAAAAGAAAGTCAGCCACTCTAACTCGCATGACTGGCAAATCTAGCACCCAGTCGAGCACGAAAAATATTATTTTTATCTCTTTTTTATTTTATTTTATTTTTTCAAATTTAGTTTTTTTTTTTTTTTCATTCTTTCTTATATTCTATTTCCTAATTACACCTATAAAAACTTCTTAAAAAATTACAACTAAAATGCATTGATGAAGATGCTCTTATAAATTATTCATACAAGCATGGAATATTATTTTTAAGACATTAAGCTATATCTTTTTTTATTATTATTAATCTAAATTAGTAAGTTACTCTAACTAGTTTTGAACCACATACAGAGAGCACATGCCAATTTGAATACGCTACGCAACTTACGTACTAATTGAGCAGAGAATAGCACGCGTAGAGTTGTCGCTACTCGCATCTATGATTCTATCTCAGTTTTGTTTGTTTGTTTTTTTTTTTTTTTTTTTTTTTTTTTTTTTTTTTTTTGTTTTTTCTTTAATATATATTTTCTATCAAGTGATTCTTTTGAATCTATGTTTCTCTCAGTTTTGTTTTTATTTTGTTTTTTCTTAATATATATTTGATGGCGATATGGGACCCCGGGGGACTATTTTATTAGGAAAGTCGGTCCAACCGTTCAAATGGGTGTCCATCTTTATGGGTGATGGCGATATGGGACCGTCCATCTTTATGGGTGAGGTGTTGGCCCATCAAGAATAATGGAATTCTATCGGGCTAAGGAAAGAAGGAAGCTTGGAGCAAAATATTATTATAATTATTATTAAGAGGTATTAAACTCACGACCTCAAGTATAATAATACAAGTCCAAGACCATCAAGCCAATCAAGATCCTGTGTACTAAAGGGTAGGAAGCTCCACTTATGCATGGAAGTGCGCAGAAAGCAAGGAAGTGGGGGGGGGGGGGGGGGGACACGTGTGTGGTCCAGAATGAAGCCTGCTAGATGCCGTCCATTTGTCAACCATTCGTGAATCCCTCAGCAGTATAAATAGGCACCCTACCCTCCCTTTTAAAGGCACCCCTTAGCTCACCAAACCCCTCTCGGTCCATTGGTCTGAGTCTTCAACCCCCTGTCGGCACACCAGGGTTCGAGTCCTATTGGTAACATATTTACTTTTATTTCATTTATTAGTTCCCTTAGCTTGTTTAGTTATTATTTTAGGGGGCCGCCATTTTGGGCCTGTACCTTGGGCTTTGTACGTACTATTTTGAGCCTAGCGCCCCGGGTAATAAAGTTATTCTTTGTCTACCCCCCGTTCTATATTTCTGTACCCGGTTTATGGTGGACCTGGTCGCAATAAAACCATCATATCATTGGCACCATCTGTGGGTATCGCTACGATTAGCCTGTGTTTATAGTCTCTATTTGTTTGAGCAAGGTTCCGAGGTACGCCCAAATGGCGTATTCGCAAGATGAGCTACCCTACCAGGTAACACACTTATCACATTGAGACGCTACCCCGGTGAGTACACTTTTACACTTAGTTCAGTAAAGAACTAAAGATTATGTTTATTTTTCCAAACTATGTGTTCCTATGTGTTATGCATGCTTAGCCTACGGCCACCTCAATTATGTGATCCTATGTGATATGCATGCTTAGCCTACGACTACCTCAATTATGTGCTCCTATGTGCTATGCATGCTTGGCCTATGGCCACCTCAACCATTTCCCAAGTATGTGCTCTTATGTGCTATGCATGCTGGGCCTACGCCCATTCAGATGATCGAGTACCGGACTCGTAGGGCAGGGTAGGCAGTCCGTATACTTGGTGGCTAGGGCATGTGGGTTATCGCAACCCACATGCGCGGACTTGCATGGAAGGGTAGGCAGTCCGCATGCATTTTGGTGGCTGGGGCATGTGGGTTATCGCAACCCACATGCGCAGACTTGCATGGCAGGGTAGGCAATCCGCGTGCATTCTGATGGCTGGGGCATGTGGGTTATTGCAACCCACATGCGCTGACTTGCATGGCAGGGTAGGCAGTCCACATGCATTTTGGTGGTTGGGGCATTTGGGTTATCGCAATCCACATGTGCAGACTTGCATGGCAGGGTAGGCAATTCACGTGCATTCTGGTGGCTGGGGCGTGTGGGTTATTGCAACCCACATGCGCAGACTTGCATGACATGGTAGGCAGTCCGCGAGCATTTTTGTGGAATGTATTATACAAGTTCTAGAGGGCGCTCAGCCCATCAAGCGAAAGGTAATCGCTCCCTCCAAATGGGTGAAGGTTATAGCTAAAGCATTAAAAAAAAAACAGGTAAAACATGGAGAAATCAACCGTGCAAAACAAAGCAGTAAGGGAGAACAATGTTAAGAAGCAAAGATATCCAGTGAATATTCAAATGAAGCCGAGTACTAAGTAGCGAGGAAGATGTCCAGTATAAGAAGCATCTAAGAAGCACGACAATAGAGGAGTCACCTTGACCTCTCGACACTAGATGATGAAGCAGGCAATGCAACGTGCGGTGTGAAGCAGAGGCACGCGGTAATGGCGTGGCGCGTAGCAGTGTGGCGTGTGGCAGCAGCGTACGATGGTGGGGGAATGACAAGTATCTGGAAAATTTGGAAACTGGAATTTGAATTTGGGAAATGGAGGAGGTGGTAGTATTGATTTATACTTCCTTCAGGCATCCAATGACTAAAGAAAGTGGGAGACTTGTGATGGCGATATGGGA